CCCCCGCCGCCCGGCCCGGGGAGCCGTCCTCCTCGGTGGAGGGGCACAAAGGCCTCGCAGACCTGCGGCGTGTTTGCGTTAGCGCATTGCAAGTGACCTCTCCGTACGGAGGCGAGCCCCGGTGTGCGGGTATGCGTGCCTGCTGTCCAGCGCTTCCCGGTCCTCCTTGTTGCAGTCCATTTTCGGCAGCCCGTAGTAGCCAGACCCGATTTTAGACATCAGTGCGTAACTAGGTTTGACGAGAACTGAAGCTTTGTTTTTTGATGGGGTAAATTATGCTTGCAGTTTGTAAGGAACTCGCTGTGCCTCTAACCTGTTGCCTCCTTCTCAAAACTTACGTATTCCTAAAGAGTGCTTTGACCCGAAATACTCCTTGGAGTCAGCAGTTTAATTTCTTAAAAGGAAAGATTCAGAGAGGGAAGTTGTCCTTTGTACTTCTTGGAGAAGCTCCCTAAGCTTTGTTAGGTAAATAATAATATGCATAGTTTGCTCCAGGCACTTCCTCCTAGGAGCCCAAGTGATTTTGGCATACTCATATGTGAATAGCTGGTAGTGTTTACGTAGCAGTGGTATTAGGCAGCTGTTATGAAACCTGCATATACACCTACAAAACCACAGCAAAAAGACCCCTGTTGTTGACAACATCTTTTCATGGGCCAAATACTCTGGTTCTGTTTGTACCTCCTGAGTAGGAAAAGCTAGTGGCTTAAATTTGGGAGTGCAAATAGATGGAAGAGCTAGAAAGCAATCACGGTTGAAGCGAAGCCTAGAACGTCTGTAATGGATCCTGAAATGCCATGTCTGTATTTCTCACAGTAAATCACTGAGTGATGAAGAAAACCTGAAGCTGTTTGGCAAATGCAACAATCCAAACGGCCATGGGCACAACTATAAAGGTAAGGAGTTTACTTCCATGCTTCCACATGTAGTCATGGATGGAGGCTGCTCTCGGGTAGGCTGGTTTGAATGCGGAATAACCCATGGGAGACCTGGGCCAGTCATGTGTCTCAGCAGTCTGGTATGGCTTTTAGCAGCTGGTTTTGGGGTTTTTTAGAATTAGAAGGAGTCCTCAGCAGCAGGGGGATTGAATCAAGGCATGGGTTTGCAAGCTGTTAAGTTAAATACATAATAAATATTTATCTCAAAATGTCACTTCGTGAATCAAATCTACTTGTTTATAATCTGCAAAATCATTGTGTTTTGAATGAAGATTTTTCTAAGCAAAAGACATGCAATTTAAACAGCCTGTAAACTTTATTTGAATGTTGTTTTCAGAAGTTCTTCTACATCTATACCCCATGCACATAGAATCAGATCTCTCCAGTTATTAGGCTGGCTCCCTGTTTAGAACTGTGTATTGTAGGTACCCTGAAACCTCGGCTACAGACCTGCTAGCTTTACCAGGGAAGACAGGTTGACAGATTGCTGGACTGAAGATCTGTCCCTCATTTTAAAGCTGACTTACAGGCACAACAGTTCTTGCTTTCTCGTATAAGAAGGACGTTCCCACTGTAAAAAAAATTGCTGGAAAGCTAGGGAGATGCCTCTCAAACTGTTCCAGTGGGGGTGGAGAGTGAGAAAAAGAGCATGAAGGGGCTTTTCCACTCCAGAGAAGAATCACAACCAGGCTCAAATTGCTGTCTTTCTATTTTTGTGAGTTCCCCAGTGAGCTGTGATTTTGTTCTCAGCTCCTGGAGTTAGTGGGAAGGAATGCTGAGCTTATTAGGATAATGTTTCCAAGTATTTGTGTCTTTTGTTGAAAGGACTTCTGGGTTGAAATGACACCTTGCAGTAATTCTAGTACTTAGAGTTAGCGGCCACCTCATCCCTTACTTTCCTTCTCTGGTATTCCATTATGTCAGAAGACTTATAAGCTGACCCCACATCTTACGGTCTCTGTGGTCTGGTGATTGTATGGGCACCTAGGGTATCTGCATTGTCCAGAAGACTTTGCTGATTGAGAGACTCTGACCTTGAGTGTGCTGGGCACAGGCATGTAGGCATAGGGAGTAGGTACCTGAGAATTCATCTAGTCTTATCTTGGCCTGCAAAGGGCACTTCAAGGATAGTGGTGTGCCTCTGGGCATCAGACCTTGGAGAATGACTTCTTCGAGGAGCTAGGTGACTCTGAGCCATTATTCTTTATCGAGTGGATACCCATTTTATAAAAATAGTGACACTTTTAAGTGGTGGGAAGCTTGCACTAGTCCTTGTGGATTAGCGATGAATGGGTTGTCTGTCCCAATCACTAGTGTACTTTGTTAGGTTCATGGTGTCATGGTGTTACTGTGACCTGATATTTTTCTTTTTTTCAGTTATAGTCACTGTGCGTGGAGAGGTAAGTGCAAGCAATATTTTTTTCCATTCCTTAGGGTGGCAGGATAGATGGGTCCCTGTCTTCCACAGTACTGAAGTTCTAGCTCAATTGCTAGGTTTCCCAGGGTGTTTGTGGAAACTCTGTACATATCACTGTAGAAGAAGGTTTTTCATAATCACTGTCCTATTCACCTTGCCTCTAACAAGGATTTCCAGGTGACCATATTTAAGTCCAAGGTTTGCAATCATCCTCTGGGTACGTAACTTAAGTCTGCCAGAGCCTCACTGCAGAATGTATAGGTTCTGGTCGGATCTGTGGGGCACCTTTGGATGACTACTGAGCCACAGGGAGGCTTAGAACTTCCAGTAACTGATTCTGTCTGCTGTTTTATCAAGGTATTTTGCTGCAAATGTAAAAGGAAATTCTGCTTTTGCAGTTATTTTTCACCCTTCATTGTGTCATTGTTCTGTGTATTCTGCAGAGTTACTTAGATAGCGCTTTGGTTTTGACGTTTTCCAAGCAACTTTTTGAGGATTTCCAGCTCATAGGAAGGGGTTTCTATTCAGATCTGAAATTAAAATTTTAAAGCCTCTTCTTTCTACATTCCCCAAATACGCTGTGAACTACACAACCTGATTTTGTTCTGGAGCTGTGCCTTCTCCAGATGGGAGGATGCCCTGAGCTCAGGCTGGTCTCTGTTTTGTCCCTGGTTGTTCAACCCAGCAGTTTAATGCCTGTTTTCTTGCTTATGACCATTCTAGATTGTTGCTTGAAGAGTGAGTGTTTCAGCGAGTTTTTCCTCCCTGGTGTCAGCTTTTATGAGAGAGTGGAACCACTGGAGTTGTTTGTATGCTGTATCTAGCCTTTGGGAAACATCACAGGAGTAGATCTGGAACTCAGTGTGTGAAGGTGGAAAGATGTTTTTCTTGTGGCTCAGATGTCCTGAGCACACAGATTTGTACAGGCTCACGGCAGCCTTGGTAATAAGGATGTGTAGCTAGGCTGCTAATCTCCCTTTTGTTTTCCCTGCAGATTGACCCGGTCTCAGGAATGGTTATAAACCTGACAGACCTGAAACAATATATGCAGGTAATAGCACTATTTTCCTGCACATCCCCTGGGAGAATTGGTTAGAGCTTAGCAATTTGTCTAGTACCAGGGTGGAGACATGGTGAGTTGATAATGGTAGGAAATAAAGAAGAAATTAAGGAATGATTTAAGACTAAAATGCTTTAGCACTGTGATGTGAGGCAGTACTGTGTCTCCAGCTAGGAAGTTAACAGGTGGATGTAGGGCTCTTACCCTTTTTTTACATACTGTTGCCTTGCTCCAGTCCCATGTGCATGGTAATTTGAGCCTCAAGTCCACTGACCAACTGGGACAAGTTTGTCACTGTTTTCTTTCTGCAGGAGGCGATCATGGAACCGCTTGACCACAAAAACCTGGATAAGGATGTGCCGTACTTTGCTGAAGTTGTGAGGTGAGTCATGGGAACTCCTCGTGGCTTTGGTTGCAGGATCAAGGAACAGTCTTCAAGGCTCAGTCCTGCATCTGAAAGAGCAGCCTTGATACCGGTGTGTGTAACACACCTGTGCGTGTCAGGTGGTGGGTGCCCTGCTTGCCTCCTAGCCCTGCTGCCATGCAGCCTGCCTTACTGTGCTGGGCTGGGTGCAGGCCTGCTGGGGCAGCTGCCATCCCACATACCAAGGAAGGTGCCACTTGCTCACACCTGAGAAGCCTTTTGCAGACTTGGACTTTTCACATGAGCCTGCCCTGTGGACAGCCTGGGGAGACAGATATGACCTGTTAATTAGACCTCACTTCATCCATATTTGCTGGCAATGTTCAAGCCCCACTTACATTAAGGGTGTCATCATGTGAAAGCTGCCCGGATGGCTCCCTGTGGCCTTTAGCATCCCCTCTGGCCCATTCTGGGTACAGCTTCCTCAAATATCATTGCTGTCAGTTCTGAATCTGCTCGTGTTTCACTCTTAGCACCACAGAGAACGTTGCAGTATTCATCTGGGAAAACCTCAAGAAGCTCCTGCCCATGGGAACTCTTTATAAAGTCAAAGTGTATGAAACGGACCAGAACATTGTCGTTTATAAAGGAGAAGAAACAATCTCTGAGAAGTAAAATGAGCTTAAGCTCAATTGGTCAGAAACTCTGCTGCATGATCAGATCAGTGGATTGCTTCAACCCTGCCCACAGTATTTCTTGCACCTAGACGTTGGTTACGTATTACATAAGGGCAAATACAGATGTTTCACAAGAATTCTTGCAGCAATCTAGCAATTTGGGTTCTCAGAATTTGTTGATTTTGTCTGCTTTTTCTCAAGACATTCCTGTTTTGCAAACCCAAACTACCAAGCTGATGTGAAATTTATAATTGTGCCATGATAAGTAAAGCAGCCTTCTAGAGAGGAGATGGCCTGGCAAAGTGTATGTCCTGTCCAGTCACAAAAGGCTTTGATTTTTCTTTAATTAAACATTGGATTAATTTATGATTTTTAATAACCTGGGCTCTGGTGTTGTTTTGCTTCTTGAACAAATAGAGAAACGTTCTTGAGAATGAGAACTACATGATTCTCTTTTTCTTCTTTTTTTTTTTTTTTTTTTTATGTTGCTACAGACTCATTTCTTCCTGTGGCTAGCAGGCCTTTCTCTGTATAAGGAACTGGTATAGTGAGCAATATAGTTGTTTACAGAGCAATTCCTAATCCAAACTGCGGAGCTAAAGAGAACAGTATGTTGTTGAGAATCAGCCTGGGAAGCTAAGGAAACTGCAAAGTTGGAACACCGCAGCCCCGGTGGTTTCAGACTGCCCTGATGCATGGGTGAAAGTGGAAGTAGGCGAGAATAAACCCTTAAATACTGGTTATCCAGTTGGTGTCCCAAAGATACCACTCTTGTGAAGTTTTGCTGGGAGAAGGCTTTTCAGCTTAGAAAATTCTGGCTGACTTTGTGTCATTGTAGTGCAAGTACTCACTTCTTTGATACCCTCTGGTGGTGTGTCAGCTCAGGGCGAGTACAGACATGTAGATGTAATCCTCATCTTGCTGAGGACTCATCCCTGCTACAGGAGACTTTGCATTCTGCATCTGATCGTGGAGAGCTAAAATAGTAGGGGAAGACCTGTGATACCTTGAGTCCCTATCCACTGAAGCCTCCTGAAAGCTCGTTGGCACAAGCAGCCAGATCAAGTTTGTTTTTCTTAGGGAGGTTTTTATGAGTTCTGTAGGAACAGGATCAAGCTCTCTCTTTCGTCTTTCTGGGGAAAGCAGTCAGCTCATGTTCCTGCTGCGATGATCAACAGTTACTTGGTATTTTCATCATCAGACTCCCATGTTGGGAAGGCCTTGTAGACAAAAGAAGCACTTGTTATGCATCAGTCATCAGGGCTGCAGCTTCCTGCTGTCATTTGCAGATTAGGAGATGCAACACTGTTCAGCATAGGTTGTTACAAAAGGATAAGGCTGTGAGATGAGTTTAAATGAACACTAACCAAATTGTTCTGAAGATTCCTGAAATTGTAGGCATACTGTGAAAGTGCTGAAGAGGAATGCATGTAAAACCAGTTAGGGAACAGTTATTTTACAATTCCTGTGGTTAATAGCCGTAAAATCAACCTGTCTGTCCAGAGGCAGAAGTGATAGTACTGTGAACAACTCTCTTTATCACATAAGTGACGTTCTGAAGAGTAATTAGGTATGGCCATGAAGAATAACTTAATGCATACAATTAAAAAAGTGATATCCAGTGTAATAGTTCCCTTGCTTTACAAGGAAATTATGCATCTGAATAATGGTAGCAAAAAGCACCATTTAGAAGGCTTAATGAAGCTTGCTTAATAGTTAACCTTGGCCACACTCTACTACAGGCTGAGGGTAAAGTATCCTTCTGTAGCTACCAGTTCTGCTAGAAAGTAGTTTTTACAGTTCCAAAAAATACTTTGACTGCTTTCTTTTAAACTGTGAGTGCTTTATATGAGGACAATTCTGTGCTGTCTCCTGCCTTGATCCGTCTTTGCTCAAATTTTCTGGATGAGCATCTAAAAGAGAGTAGTGAGAAAAGGCTGGAGATGAGGGATATTCCAACCTTCCCTCTTTGGCAGAGCAAGACCCCTGGCATGGGAGCTCCAGTGTTGGGTTTTTTTTCCTTCTTAAAGGTAGTGCTTTGGTGAATAATTGGCTGAAGGTTCATTCCAGTGTCACACAAGTAGAGAGTGCTCAGTGCATCAGGTGAAGGGAACATGCTGTTGACACACTGTTGCCCCTTCTCCCCCCTTTTTTTCCCCCCAGATGTGGAATCAGTCGACTTTTTTCAGTGTGGGCTCTGGCCAGGGAAGTTTTGCAGTTTATCTGAATGCTTCTGCTGGTCTGTAGTTCACTAGTGTGATATGTCCTTCTGGTTTGCTAAAGTGATGTAACTCATACTGGATGATAGCTGATGATGGTGATTCACAAAGCATTTGGTGTCTTCAGTGAGTCATTGACACTAAAACATACCATGTGGTGTCTTTATCAGAAGAGTAATTTAGCTGTTGACGTTGACAAAAAGCAAGCATACAAATGGTTACATCTATATAGCACAGCCCATTGCTATTATTAGCATGAAGTCAGATGCTAGGCCAGAAAAAAGTAGCCCAGATTCCTGATCTTTTACTGCAGTGCAACATAGCCCTGACAAAGTCCCACAATAGCTTGGGCATTTATATTTATTGCTGGGTTGCCTGTTGGACATGTATTCATATCCTTTATTCTGATCTCTCCAGTTTAAATGGCAGCAGATCTGGGGCGGTGGAAATAAATTGCTTGACTGCGTAGTGGGTTGGGTGAAGGGGGTCGGCAATATCAGAGCTGGAATTGTAATTGCCTATGTCCCAAGAAATTACAGTGTATTCTGTCCCTTATCCTGCTTAGAGGGGCCTTGATCTTTGCAGGTGTGTGTGAGCTCCATGTAGGGAAGTCTCTGTAGGAATCAGCCTCCAAATTCACAGGTTAGGGAGGGAGGGTTATATAAGGAGATAATTAACTCACATGATTAAACATTAAGCATCTCTGTGCTGTAACTTAGTTACCAAGTGATGAAATTGTTTGAAGGAGAACTGTTCAGGTGATGGTGGGGTCCAAGACAGCAATTAAAAGGTCAAAGCTGATCCCAGGAGAGCTGTTGTAGGAGCAAGACTTCCAGCTTCAGTGCACATGAATGTAAATAGCAGTATAATAACAGCACGACCAGATATATGCTGTGTTGTGTGTTTAGTAGGGACTGAGGGCGAAGACCCAGTTCTGCCTTCCTGTCACCTGGAGAAACCTGGAAGACCTTCATCAGGTTATACAGAAGAGGAGTAGTGCCAGGGACTGAGTGAATGGGGAGCCTGTGCAAGAAGCTGGCTATGTTGGTTGCTTGCGCTGCACTTGTGCTCATGTTGTGCTTCAGCTAATGTGACGATTTGGTTCTGCCAACTAGAAGCAAAGCAAAGTTTGAGGCTGCCCAGTTCCAAAGGAAAGCTGTTTAGCAGCAGCTCTTCTTTTTTATTAATTGTTTCTAGGGAACATTTTCCCATTCTGCCTCACTGCAAGGAGAAAAAGTTGTCTTCTCTTTTCTGTGCTTGAAACACAGTGACCCCAAGAGGACTCTGGGTTCAGCCCCAGCTTTTGCAGTGTGGGGAGTGGGAATTGACTGTTTTCCCATGACGTCTGAAATTATGAAACAGTGCAGAGCAAAAGGGACACCATTACAAAAGGATCAGCAAATAGAAAAATAGCAGCTGGGACTGAGCCAAGTTCTGCTGCTCAGTCTTACGTGCCACTCCCTAGGCAGTTATTTATAGTTCATTGTAGCCCCAACAATGACCAAGTTAATAAATAATCTAGGCATCGCTTCTGATGAGGAACTATGTGTGGGACATGGAGCCCCAACCAGGAGCTGTTCCTCCAAGTTCAGACAACCGGCAATATCTTACAATTCCTGAATTGAAGTTTTCCCCTGTAACATGGCTTCTTTGTATATGTGCCCAGTGCCTGGAAGGCAGTGAAGACTGCGGGGGTGTTCACAGGACCTCTGCCTGCTTCGGTGCCCAAGACTGGCAGTGCCTTGGGAGAGAATGAGAGGTTGAATGAAGGAGCAGAGTGCTCCCAGCTTTGTTCTGCAAAAAGGTTGGGAAGGTCACTGTGGACAGAGCTGTGGGCTGTCGGGAGAGAAGGAGCTGCTGTCAGTAAGAGCTGCTGAGCTGCTGAGAGAGAGGGCCCATCACTGCCTCTGCCCCAGCCTTCCCAGCTGAGAGCCACAGGGCTGACTTGCTGGCTGACATTTTCCTAGCTGCTCACTGCACATTCCTCATTTTCCAGGGGCCTTGCTTGGGGTGGGTGTCTGCAGAGACCTAGGCCAGAGATGGGAGGAAGCCTAGGGGCCCTCAAACACAGTTCCCTCCTCCTGCAGGCAGTCATCATTTAGGCTACCCAGTAATGTATCAAACTGTACTTTAAAGCTCACTAGGATATTTGCTCCATCCCTGGCTCTAATTACCAGTAGTCTCTGTGCATGCAGTGGGGAGGCCAATTGGAAGTAGAGCATAAGGCCACAGGGGAAGTGGTGCTAGCGAAAAGAACAAGTGAGGGGGTTAAGGGGCATTTTGTGGCTTTCCCCCTGCAATGAGCGTTAATTGTCCTGTGTACCCAGTGAGGCCAGGGCCTGGTGGAAAGAGCGTGTGTCATACCACATATGTAAAAGGGGAGCTGTTTTATTGCAAAGCGTGGTTTGGGCATTCTCAGATGTTTGCATGCTTTGCCTACTCCAATATTCTTTTTATTGGTGTGGGTGTGGGTGTCTGTAAGTACAACAGTTGTTAGGATGGGAGGGAAAGCAGGCTTTTACTGTACCAGAGGTAGGATTTGTTTATTCACACACTGCTGAAGCACTGGTTTGGAAAACTCAATGGCTGCTCTAAAAGTTACGTAGAAATGTCTGTGGATGTGGCAAAGGACTAAACAATGCTGTCCCAAGACAAGGCACCTCTGAAGCAAATGTTTCTGTTTCAGATTTGTAGATATCACCTGACTCTCCTATTACCCCTATCCCTCCCCAGTGGGCTGCTGAGAGAGCAAACATTGCCATATTTCCACCAGGAAGGAGCGGGTGCAGCCAACAAGAGACCCAGGGCTAAAACTACATCTTGTTCTGCAGCAGTGGGATTTTGGAGTGATGTAAATTAAGAAAATAATGTTTAATCCTGATTGTTGGGTTACTCCCAGAATGACTGATGCACTTCCTCCTGCTATATCTAGGGTAAGATATATTAATGAGAAGTGAAATCTGTAGTCCAGGAAGTTGGGGTTCTGCTGATTTTTTTGAGGCAGTGTGCATCACCTGGCATAGTACAACAGCTATTAAAAGTTCAGAAACTACGGGAAGTCAGTGGAAGGGTGGGAAAATTTTTAATGGCACTTCATCTGTTTGCTGTAATCACTCAGTTAATTATTAATCAATGTTTT